AAGACTGCCGAAACAAGAATTGGAATAGCAACAAACCTGCAGACTATCTGATACTACACCATTGAGGCCGTAGTCAATTATAAGAGCTCCACCTCCATCGGAAGCAATTCTTTCAGCAATAGTTTGAGTCAACTCCATTGCTTTGGGGCAAACCTCGATATGTTGAAGCTTTGCTATTTCTTCATTTCCAGCCCATTTGCAGCGTTTTGCAAGATAAAGAGTCGCTGGTGTAGTCTGTGAAGACAGAACAAAACGAAACCTAAACAATATTTATGAGTATCGAATAACACAATTCTTTTGTGAAAGCATCTGCAAAAGAGAGTAATTCTATTTTACATCCTTACGTTGAATCTTCAGCAACATCAATCATTTTCTCAGACCAGCCACGAGCAGCTTTCTGCAGAAAACAAAAAAGATTAAGAAATCCTTTAAGAGAATGAAACAATATTCATAGAGCGAGCATTTGGTGATATAGATCACAAATGGACCACACAAACCTGAAATTGATGAACTGGTAAAGCATCATAAAACTCGTGGGCTATGATGATAGATGGCACTGAAACGATAATTAAGAAAGCTACAGTCAGTTCATGGGGAAGAAAACAAGCTGTCACATTCACACTTCCAAGTGTTGAGATACAGTACTAATTATATTGCACAACTGGAAGAGCTATAATGGCTTAATCATAACAAGGGGACTGATTTTTATAAACTAATGAACGTACTAATTATCTTCGGCAATACTATATCCAGCAAGATGCGTGTAAATCGATGTCAAGTTAGTGTTACATAATGCATCCACCAATCTTATGAGAATCTAGTACGCATGCTATTTCCTTCTCCTGATATCGTCTTATCCGAAGAAAAATAAAAAAGCATCACTTACGAATACAAAACTTAACTATCTGCAAACAAGTTGTTGCAGAAAGAAAAACTAGAGGTCATTTCATTCAACTGCTAGTACATGCAACCTAGAGGTCTTTTCAGTCCATTCCAGTGCATGTACATAAAAATAAGTTCGTCTTCCTTGGAGTATGATAAGAACATAACTACATACATCCTGTAGGAACGTCTTCCAATGTGGCATGCCAAGATACAGGAGTTTTAGCCAACGCGCTTATAGTCCTTTTGCCATCCGAAACCTCTTCGTCTGCACATTCCAGCTTCTGGTACTGAAGTTTCTGCAACGCAGGACTGCATTCTACCATGTGTACGTGCAATGATTTGGTGAAGTTCTTAAATTTTGAAGCACCCTAGGCAACAAAGAAACTAAATTTTGTTACTGTATTTCCATTTGTATAGCATTAACAATAAAGAAGTTCAAATGAGCAAAGCCAGTACATACACGAAGAAGGTCGGCCATGAGAGTTCCTCTTCCCGGACCTAGCTCTACTAGGTTCACTTTATCAGGCTGTCCCATTTGCTCCCACAGAGACATTGCCCAAACACCAACCATCTAAATTCAAACAGGCAGAGCAAACAACAAATCATTTTCTATTCAACAATCAAATTCCTAAAGAAAATCCCAATTGAATTTGATAAATAATGATCGAGTAATTAACAATCCAACAACAATGAATTTACCTCCCCAAACATCTGGCTCACTTCAGGGGAGGTTATAAAATCACCTCCAGCTCCAAAAACATCTCGATTCATGTAGAATCCGGCTTTCGGATTTGTCAGAACTTCCTCCATATACTCAGCAACGGAGATTGGGCCGCCGCGGAACTGACAAAAAAACCCACATCCACAACCACATTGTCACTCAAATCGCAACATTTACAGTAACCCATACCAAAATAATGGAGAAAATAAAAGAAAAAACAAACCTTGATGATTCCCTTGAGGTGCTTGACGAGCTCGGAGTCCGAAGTGGGTTCATGGGAATGCTCTGCCACAAAAATTAATTAAAAAAAATAAGAAACTAATGAGAAAAACCAATTAGTGAATGCAAATTACGGATTGGTGGCGGTTACCAGGTGGGTTGTATAGGCCGGAGCGGTCGACGTCGATGGAGGTGGTGGGTTGAGTGGCGGTTTGGTCGGGGTTGTCCTCCAACTGTTCGACGAAAGGACTGTGTGGGATTTGGGAAGAAGAAGAAGAATAAGATGTTGACCAAACAGAACGGTTGGGAACTAAAGGAGCTGAGCATGGTGAAGGAAAGTGGGAGTTGGGAAGACGGCGGCGAGCGGCGGAAGCTTGTAGCAGGAATCGTCTCAACATTTTGGAACACCGCTGGTCGCTCTCAGCAGGGACAGGCATGGAAGTGACCAAGTGAAACCAACAACTTGAACAGACTCGCCAGTCACCACAATATCATATACCAAAATCAGACAGTACAAATCACACATGGGGATGTAGCTCAGATGGTAGAGCGCTCGCTTAGCATGCGAGAGGTATGGGGATCGATACCCCACTTCTCCAATTTTTCTTTTTAATTCCCTCAAATTTTTCAATTGACCCTATTTGTATCTGTATCTGGGTCTATTTTCTTTTTGGGTGACATCAGATAAATTTGGTATCTACGTCAGCAAATATGTAATTTTCTTTATTTCCCTCAAAATTGTCAATTGACCCCATTTGTATTTGGGTCTATTTTCTTTTAGGGTGACATCGGACAAATTTGTTATCCACGTCAGTAAATATGTATTTTTTTTATTTCCCTCAAAATTATCAATTGACCCCCATTTGTATTTAGGTCTATTTTCTTTTTGGATGACATTTGACAAATTTGATATCCACGTCAGCAAATATGTATTATTTTTTTATTTCCCTCAAATTTTTCAGTTGACCCCCATTTGTATTTGGGTCTATTTTCTTTTTGGATGACATCAGACAAATTTGATATCCACGTTAGCTTTCCTTTTTATTTCCCTCAAAATTTTCAATTGACCCTATTTGTATTTGTTTCTGGGTCTATTTTCTTTTTGGGTGACATAAGATAAATTTGGTATCTACGTCAGCAAATATGTAATTTTCTTTATTTCCCTCAAAATTGTCAATTGACCCCCATTTGTATTTGGGTCTATTTTCTTTTTGGGTGACATCAGATAAATTTGGTATCTACGTCAGCAAATATTTAATTTTCTTTATTTCCCTCAAAATTTTCAATTGACCCCCATTTGTATTTGGGTCCATTTTCTTTTTGGATGACATTGGACAAATTTGATATCCACGTCAGCAAATATGTATTTTTTTTTATTTCCCTCAAATTTTTCAGTTGACCCCCATTTGTATTTGGGTCTATTTTCTTTTTGGATGACATCGGACAAATTTGATATCCACGTCAGCAACTATGTAGAAAATCGTAATAACCACCTAATCACTTAAAGGTTAATTATTTGCTTAGACATAAACTATGGAATTAATCCACCTAATAGTGGCTTAGTTTGGTTATTTCTCTTTTTATTTTAATTCTCAGGAATCAAATTATCTGCATATTAAGTGAGTTAGTTTCAATCTGGGAAGTAAAACTGCAAAACCAATCCATGTCGAACCATGTCCACTATAATTAACCACTACATGTAATAAAATTTGTTTTGCAATTGTCTCCATTAGTTAATTGAAGTTTTATTTGTTTAAAAGAAAAGAAAAACCATGATAGATGTAGCTCAAATGGTTATAACATAAGGATTTAATCATTTTAATTGAATTCGAATGGCAGAAGTACAAGCACTCAATAATACGATGACTCGAAACAAACAAGTTCAGTCGAACAACGTAACGAGTCTCAGGTTACAAAAGCGTCATAATTTCGTACTAGCAAATTACGCATTATTACTCATATATTTTGCTATTAATAAAAAAATTAAACATTGTCCGAGTTATCGTTAATCTTTTCGTAACGTCCGTTTTCGTCATCTTTGAAGTAGTAGACATAGAAGAGCAGCAAACTGGTAGCAACGGCAACAAAATACATCAGCACCACCACAGCCAAGGGCATAAACGTCCCAAACTGATAAGCAAACCCAAACAAGATGCCACTTGTCAAAACACAATACGTGAATCTCAACACCTCCTTCTTCAACGACTTCTCGCCACGTGGCAGCCGGCTGTACACCTGCTGACACTTGTCCAAACCCCAGTAGGCCACGTAGACAAAAATGACGAAAGCGAGGACCGGGTAGTCGCGGGCCTGGTACGCCCGGTACATAGTGGTGAGGTAGCAGATTGTGAGGTTGAAGTAAGCAAAGTGGCCGATGAAGTCCGGTCTTTGAGTAATTTGTGGGGGTTTTTGGGGAGCATCGGTTGGCAACATATTTGCAGTTCTCTGCAAGTTTTTGGGTTCGAGTTTTCGATCGAGTGAGGTTCGAGTTGGGGGGTTTGTGGTTATTTAAGCGAACCCACATATGGAAGGTGCGTAGAATTTACCTTGAAGTTGTCACGAAGCGCCGAGGAGTTGGAAAGGTGAAGTGGGAATTGCCCTTCTACTTTCTTCGAAAGAGAACAAGAAGGAGCCTAGAAAGTCAAGGTCCCATGGATAGTTTCGTGAATCCATCTACGAAAATGCCTAAAATTACAAGATGGGCCAAAGGTTTTCTTGAGGGTAACGACTAATCACACCGATAGGCACGCTCTGGTACCATGTCAAGGATATGTAGAGAGGCCAACGACTCATCATCAAGTGATGGTGATGCTCACGACCATATTTATCTTAGATTCGTTTAAATTTCGAGATTTATATAAGATAGACATCAATTTCAAAATTTAAAATCATTTGACAGTGATAAATAAGGTGGTGAACATTACTATCACTTGCTCGTATGGAAGCTAGACTTGTGGCGAGGCTGAAATGTATTTGTGAGTCTTCCCAGCATCTGAAACGGGTGGATAATCGTAATTTGCCATCAATTGTCATTTTTTTTAAAGTTTAAATTATAAGATGTGTGTCTATCCACAATATATATATATATATATATATATATATATATATATATCTTGAAATTTCAATAATAATAATAAATAAGAAACCACCACGAGATGACCCTAGTTAGAAACAAACTCCAGACCCATATTTCATACGTCACGTCTTGGGTTTGATTCCTGACACTGATGAATCACACGATGGTGGCCATTGTAAGGTTGAAATACCTCTACGTGTTTTCGTCTTTCAATTAAATAGACTACCGTGACGAAATCACTAACTCGTCTTCTAATTTTTATATATATAAAATAATAATAATAAATAAAGTATTTTGACAAAATAATAATAATAATAATAAACAAGGTAGTTGGTGGGTAAAAGTAATCCCTATTAAATACAACTCACACTTAAAATTCCCAACGGAATTCCTCCGGTTTCTTATTACTCTTCTAAAACCACTCGGAATCCCAATTGAATACAAAGCGCCAGTTCTGTACTGTGTCCTGCATAAAGCCCACTCGAAAAGAAAAATTTTAATTATGACGGGAATACAAATGGTACATTATGTATTTTTGTAAAAATGATGAAAAATTTTAATTTTTAAATTATTAACCCTTTAACCCACGTAACTGACTATTTATATAAGAAAAATCTCTCCAGTTGGAGCACCGAGAACCAAGCTGGCAGAAGAAGATGGCGCACGGCGGCGGACCAAGGCAGGTGAAACTGGACCGAGAGAGCGAGCTCAGAATCGAAGTCGGCTACGACACCCCTCTCAAGTTCCGCCTGCTCAGCGGCACCGCTGAGATCTTCGGCAACGAGCTCCCCCCTGATATCTGGCTCACACCTTCCCGCCCAGGCTTAAATTTGCTGCAAGCCTTCGTCTTCCCCTAGCTCTTTTCCCAAGTTTACATCTTTTTAATAGAATTTGCGTTGTGGGTTTTGATTGTTAAAGATTTTGAATCGCATTTGTGTTGTGGGTTTTGGTTGTTGAAGGTTTTTACTTGGAACGGAGCAACAGTTGAGATGGAGGGCGGTACGGAAACCGAGTACTGGGCTGATGAGGTATTTCATATGCTTGTTATCTGCTTTGGGTTTTCTACTTTTTGGCTCCGGATGCATCTGTCACTAATGAGAATGTGAATGGTGTCTGATTCCAATGTTTGATTTTTCAGACCCCAACTATCAGAACGGAGACACCGCGCTAAACCCTTGCTGCCCGATGACCCCGATTCTCAGGTACTTCTTGTTGTTCACTTGCATGTTGGGGAAAGTTGGTGCAAAATTTTCTGTGTTTTAATTAGTGTCATCCTCTGTGAATAAAAGTGTACTCGTTCACTTGTCTGTTTGGAGCAGATAATAAATGCAAACCTTTCTACATGTTTCAAGTGGTGTCATTTTTCACGGACTTATCGCCACGTGGCAGCCGGCTGTACACCTGCTGACACTTGTCCAAACCCCAGTAGGCCACGTAGAAAACACGACAAAAGCGAGGACCGGGTAGTCGCCGGCCCGGTACGCCCGGTACATTGTGGTGAGGTAGCAGATTGTGAGGTTGAAGTAAGCAAAGTGGCCGATGAAGTCCGGTCTTTGAGTAATTTGTTGGGGTTTTTGGGGAGCATTGGTTGGCAACATATTTGCAATTCTGTGCAAGTTTTTGGGTTCGAGCTTTATATCGAGTGAGGTTTGATTTGGGGGGTTGTGGTTATTCAAGCGAACCCACGTATGGAAGGTGCGTAGAATTTACCATGAAGTTGTCACGAGGTGCCGAGGACTTGGAAAGGTAAAGTGGCAATTGCCCTTCAACTTTCTTCGAAAGAGAACAAGAAGGAGCCTACAAAGTCATGGTCCCATGGACTGTTTTGTGAGTCCATCTGCGAAGGTGCCTAGAATTACAATACAATATAATAGTTGGTGCGAGAGTTTATCATAAAAGGCTTGCTCTAATATAATATCAAGTTTTTGTAGAGACAGGCCAACGACTCATCATCATCAAGTGATGATGTGATACTTACGATAAATTTCGAGATTTGTGTAGGATAGATATAAATTTCAAAATTTAAACTTATTTGACAGTGATAAATAAGGTGGTGAACATTACCACCACTTAAAAGTTGTGAGAAAAAACACATGCTAACGAGTTTAAATTATAAGATTTGTATCTATCCACTGTATATATCATGAAATTTCAATAATAATAATAAATAAGTAACCACCACGAGGTGACCCGTAATCAGGGACAAACTCCAGACCTGCATTCCACACATCACGTTATGTGTTTAATTCCTGACATTGGTGAATCACACGATGGTGACTAAAGAAAGGCTAAAATTGCCTCTATGAGTGTTATCAACCTCTAATAAAATAGACTGCCGTGACGAAACTAACAGCTCGTCCTCTAATTTTTTTTATAAAAAAAGAATAATAAATAAAGTAGTTCGACAAAAAGAAATAATGAATAAGGTAGTTGGTGGATCAGAGTACTCCCATTAAATAGAGTTCGGAAGAGATATTCTCCAGATTTTTTCCATCAAAGTCACCAAATCAAGTGATCTGGGTTATTAAAATTTGATCCAACAGCTAAAGTTATTATAATTTTAAAAGGAGATTATTTTTAATAGTTGAATTAAATTTCATGGAGACAGATCACTTGATTTGGGGGCTTCAGTGAAAGAGATTCGAATGGATATCTTCCCAATAGAGTTCACTCTTAAAATTCCCAACGGAATTCCTCCGGTGTCTTATTACACTCTTTTACTCATTGAAATCCCAAATGAACACCCTTTTAAAACCCCTCGGAATCCCAATTGAATCCGAAGCGCCAGTTTTGTACTCTGTCCTGCATAAAACCCCAATTGGAGCACCGAGAGCCAAGCTAGCAGAAGAAGATGGCGCACGGCGGCGGACCAAGGCAGGTGAAACTGGACCGAGAGAGCGAGCTCAGAATCGAAGTCGGCTACGACGCCCCTCTCAAGCTCCGCCTGCTCAGCGGCACCGCTGAGATCTTCGGCACCGAGCTCCCCCCTGATTTCTGGCTCACCTTCCCGCCCAGGCTCAAATTTGCTGTAAGCCTTCTTCTTCCCCTAGTTCTTTTCCCAAGTTTACATCTTTTTAATAGAATTTGCGTTGTGGGTTTTGATTGTTAAAGATTTTGAATTGCATTTGTGTTGTGGGTTTTGGTTGTTGAAGGTTTTTACTTTGAACGGAGCAACAATTGAGATGGAGGGCAGTACGGAAACCGAGTACACGGCTGATGAGGTATGTCATATGCTTGTCACTAATGAGAATGTGAATGGTGTCTGATTCAAATGTTTGATTTTTCAGACTCCAAATATCAGCTATGTGAATGTGCACGCCGTACTGGAAGAACGGAGACACCGCGCTAAACCCTTGCCGCCCGATGACCCCAATTCTCAGGTACTACTTGACACTTGCTTACTTCTATGTTGGGGAAAATTAGTGCAAATTTTTCAATGTGTTTTAATTAGTGTCATTCTTTAGTGAACAAAAGTGTTTGATCCTCAATTGCCAGCTCTGTAAATTTTTAGGAATGATTGAGATAAGCTTGTGGCGCAAGTGCATCTACTGTGTAGTAATGCAAGTCCATTTTTGGTGCATATTACCTAGGATTGTTGTAATCCTTTCCAAGTGACTCTCTGTCTATGGCTTATAAGCTTCTTTGTGGTTAGGGCCCTAGGGTGATTGTTGTGGGACCAACAGATTCTGGGAAAAGTACCTTGTCGAAAATGCTTCTTAGTTGGGCAGCTAAGAAGGGATGGAAACCTACTTTCGTCGACTTGGATATTGGACAAGGAGCTATAACAATTCCAGGATGTATTGCCGCTACTCCTATTGAAATGCCTATTGATCCGGTTGAAGGAATTCCTCTTGATATACCTCTCGTTTATTTCTATGGGCACACAACTCCTAGGTAATTGATTTATAGCATCTTCATATGGACCTATCATTTCACATCATTTGTTAATATCTGATACTAACATATAAGTAAATTTCTTGTCATGCTAATTTAGTGGAAGTCATGAATCCTTAAAGATCCATTTTTTATCCAGTAATAATGTAGATTTATACAAAGTGCTTGTGAAGGAGCTTGCTCAAGTGGTAGAAAGACAACTTTCTGGGAATGCTGAATCTCGAGCTTCTGGAATGGTGATCAATACCATGGGATGGATAGAAGGTCAAGGCTACGAGGTAATTTTTAGGCTGCTTGCACTTCAGGGATGGCTGCTGACTTACTATTGAAATGGTTGTTTTAATGTCATATTTTTTATTTTCTTGCAGTTGCTTCTTCATGCAATTGATACATTCAATGCCAATGTTGTCTTAGTTCTAGGCCAGGTACATCCCTCTAGTTTGAGTTTTCTTTCTTATTATGATTTTACCGTACTGGATTCTGCAAGCATTTCTTCTTTCCCCCCCCCTCTTTGCTATTGTTGCTCGACTCTGTTACAAAGTTCGTCTTGGTTAGCATAATGCATCCTTGTTTGCAAAACATTTTGATGTTTTAACAAAATGGTTGTATATGTAGGCTCCGATGACAGTACGTATATTTCTTTTAAATTCTCAGGAAAAACTTTGGAGCATGATCAGAAATGTACTAAAGAACAAGCCTGGTGTGGACGTTGTAAAACTTCAAAAATCTGGGGGTGTTGTATCCAGGAATGCCAAATTCCGTCAAAAATCCAGGAGTCATAGGATAAGGGTAAGCATCAATATGTTGCCATTTAATCCTTGTTATTTGTTCTTCCTGAGGAAAAGACTCATGTGCACTGATATTTCTAACAGGAGTATTTCTATGGCCTTGCAAATGATCTCAGCCCACATTCTAATATTGCGAATTTTAGTGACTTTTCTGTCTTTCGGATTGGTGGCGGGCCACAGGCCCCACGTTCGGCTTTGCCAATTGGTGCAGAGCCTGCTGCAGACCCTACAAGATTGGCGCCTGTGAATATTAACCGGGATTTGCTGCATACCGTTCTTGCTGTTTCATTTGCCAAGGAGCCTGATCAAATTATTTCTAGGTAACTTATACCGATCTATCTGATAGAGAAATAGATAATGAATCACTAAAGTATATGACATTGATCAGTCTCGTTCACTTTCATTTGAACTTCACATAGGAAAGTAGATGGTTTTACCCCCTCACTGTCACAAGAATGAAAATACATAGTAGTATTGTGGTATTTCTTGCTTGCTTTTCCGTCTCTGGAGATAGGGATGTGAATTTGACGGTGACATTTTGTATTTCAGAGCATGATTCGTGGTCTGTAGTCTTAAAAATTTACTTTTTTGGTTTGTTTTGACGTAATGTTGCTGGGTTTGTCTTTGTCACAGACGTCGACATTCAGAGGTTTGTATCGTGAACAACTTGCTAGAAACACTTCTTGTATTCTGGTTTTCGTTGTTCTAACCCAATATGCGGCGTTACAGGAAGACAATTACGTACCTTGCACCATCGGCGGGGGAGCTTCCAAGCAAGTATTTGATTGCAGGAACCGTGACATGGCTTGAAACATGAAGTCGATGACCCGAAAACCCCAGTAGTATCGCTTTCCGGTGGATGTACGTTACTGGCTTATGTAAGGAGTGCAAGATGTGAGCTATCTAGGTGTAAATTTAGTTTTAACGATGTATCCCAAATACGACAACAGATTAGAATATTATTGTCGTTTTTTTGCATCCTAAATTTGTTATGCAAGTCTTGTTTGTCGTATTTTAGATTATACAAGAATTTAGAAAGGCGTGCCAAAGCCCTGAATTACTAGAGCTTGGCAACCACAATTTTTTTTGTTTTTGTTTTCTGTACAAGATATTTAAACGAAGGACTAAGCGATGGAGGAATAAATTGGTTACGAACTACTAAGTGGTATTCAGGTATTGTTCAACTGTGATATAACCTACAAGTTAAGGTAGCCCTTGCAATATGAGCTCTTTCAATTTATCCCAGGCATAAAAAGGTGCTGCAGCTGCAGCTGCAATTCCACAAAATCCTTTCAAGTATTGGTACGACCAAGTTGCAACTCTCACAAAACAAACCGTTCACAAGACGAAAGCGAACCACCCGAAAGCCGGTACCAGGATCTACAATGACATAATGAAGGCAATAGAGTTCCGGACAAGAGGGAAACATTGTCCAGAAGACCTTTAATTTCCTTGTACTACAAGCAAACAGATGGAATAATTTCCTTTTAATTTTTACGATTGCTGTATGTAGATGACCAAAGCGAAATATGTTTGAGCTCTTTGCAAATTCAGATTGCTGATTTATTTTTATTTTTTTTTCAATTTGAATGCAGCTTTATCCAATCTGCTTCACTAATGGAAAGCCTAAGTAAATAGTTTTCAGGTTACCAAAAAGGAAAGAAAAAGAGTGCACCATTGTGAAACCATAAGCTCCTGAACACTGCAAAATTAGAATCCCAAATCCATAACAAACACAGCCTTACATAAAAACCCAAAAGCCACCCACAAAAATACAAACAAAACCCAAAGCACCAAAACGCAATTCATAACAGAAGCACACACAAGCCAATAATTTCAACGAGTTTAAAGCGAATGAGGCGTAAACCTCAAAAGTGAAGAGAAACAGGGGCAGAAATCTTGATCGAGCCGCTCAAGTTGCTATCTGGGCACCAAGCGGCAGAGCTAAGAAGCGCGTATTTGGTTGTGAGTTTGAATGTTGCGAGTATGATCAGTGGGAGTATTCAAACTCATCATCAGCTCCTCAATTTTGTAACAGACATAACCGACAGCTGCAGTACAGAGTCTTATTAAGGTTTGGTATTTTTCACTGACATAACCAACAGCTGCAGTACAGAGTCCTCTTAGGATTTGGAAGGACTTGGTCGCGATTATCACAAAATATAAGGCCCAACATGCAAGAGTAAACCAACCGAAAGCTGGAACGAGGAGGAGCACCAGTAGAACCAACGCAAGAGTTCCACACAAGAGGCTGATGTTGTTCATCAGTTCGTATATATTTGTATTGTTGGAAGCTTGGAGAATGTTGGCAGTCTGCAATGTCCCCGCGTAAGTGAGTAAAACAGCAATCAACATCACAACAGTGTTGTGGTCTGTGACAAATGGAGACGGTAAATTTCCGGTCGCAAGCTTCACCTGGAGGAGAACTCCTAGGATGTTGAGGAGATGGTATATACATTTGTGTGCTGCCGGTGGAGATTTGTACCGACCACCCTCCTCCATAGGGCTGCTGTATTACAAACAACACAGAAAGTTAATGAATGGGAAAATGATCTCTGGAACATTACTCTAATGATATCAGGAGTTCCTAATTTTCAATTCTTCCATATTAGTTAATGACATTGACATGTGTCATCAACCGTTAGAATATCTGCGCACAACCCAAACTCATTTGCTAGCTAATTAAGACATGAGCTTATAAAAGAACCCGTTTCATATACATATTGATCAGAAGACATGTTACAGAGTATCTGGAAACCAAATTTATTTGATCCATAACTTGGACCTGGAAATTGAAAACGAAAAAGAAGGTTACGCAGAGTATCATAGATAGGTTAACAAGATTGTTTACTGTTTCCCTTATGCTTTACAATCAGCTTCTGGCGAAAGAGTAGATGCAACATTCTTCATATGAGTTGACTTTCACCGAACTGGGAGTCCGGCGACGTGCGTGAAGGAAAGAGTTTCAGAGAAGAATGGATTCAAAAAATTAAACAACTAAAAGATGATAACTAAAGAAAATGTACTAACCCAGCTGAGATTTGTGGAGGATTAACCGAAGTTCCGACGTTCATAACGGGGATGTGGATTCTTGGCATGGCGGAAGAGGAACGCCGCAGAGTTGGGGGAGGGAGGGAGGAGTGAGAGAGAGGATTGTGTTTGGCCCTTTGGCATTGCGGTTGAGGCTGTTAAATAGCCGTAGGATCACAAATGCGATATTTTGGGTATTTGTTATATCTGGTGAGGTGGCAATTGTTATATCTTGTGATATTTTGGCATTGCGGTTGAGGCTGTTGAATTCTTGACTTTAGAGTTTGTCACAAATGCATCACGTCACAACATCACAACATCACATCCCTATCTCCAGAGACGGAAAAGCAAGCAGGAAATACAACAATACTACTATGTATTTTCATTCTTGTGACAGTGAGGGGGTAAAACCATCTACTTTCCTATGTGAAGTTCAAATGAAAGTGAACGAGACTGATCAATGTCATATACTTTAGTGATTCATTATCTACTTCTCTATCAGATAGATAGGTATAAGTTACCTAGAAATAATTTGATCAGGCTCATTGGCAAATGAAACAGCAAGAACGGTATGCAGCAAATCCCGGTTAATATTCACAGGCGCCAATCTTGTAGGGTCTGCGGCAGGCTCTGCACCAATTGGCAAAGCTGAACGTGGGGCCTAGGCCTGGCATTTTGGACCCAACCCGTTAACCCGACCCGACCCAACCCGTTAATATTTGTATTTGGGTGGATGCTTAACGGGTCGGGTCGGGTCGCTAACGGGTGAACCCGTTAACAACCCGTTAAATAACGGGTCACTTTGGGTCAACCCGTTAGACCCGTTAGGACCCGTTAGCACCCATTAGTTGAGGATATTTTAGTAATTTTAGTAAAGTCTTAAGAACAAAAAATAAACTTTATGCAAAAAAATAATAATAATAATTGTTAACGGGTGTTAACGGGTGAAACGGGTGACCCGTTAGCTTAACAGGTCGGGTTCGAGTGACCCATTAGCTTAACGGGTTGGGTTCGGGTGACCCGTTAACTTAACGGGTCGGGTTCAACCTGACCCAAACCCAATAAACCCGACCCGTTTACATGTCTAGTGGGGCCTGTGGCCCGCCACCAATCCGAAAGACAGAAAAGTCACTAAAATTCGCGATATTAGCATGTGGGCTGAGATCATTTGCAAGGCCATAGAAATACTCCTGTTAGAAATATCAGTGCACATGAGTCTTTTCTTCAGGAAGAACAAATAACAAGGATTAAATGGCAACATATTGATGCTTACCCTTATCCTATGACTCCTGGATTTTTGACGGAATTTGGCATTCCTGGATACAACACCCCCAGATTTTTGAAGTTTTACAACGTCCACACCAGGCTTGTTCTTTAGTACATTTCTGATCATGCTCCAAAGTTTTTCCTGAGAATTTAAAAGAAACATATGTACTGTCATTGGAGTCTGCATATACAACCATTTTGTTCTGCAAACAAGGATGCATTATGCTAGTATGTGACAATCCGTTTCAAATTTTACGAAACAAAAAGGGCATTTTTGTATTTTTATCAAGTTTGGGATATTTTCCTTTTAAAAATAGTTTTGGGTCTTAAATGATGTGCCCAAGGGGCCCACCCCCTGTTTTGTCTCCGGTTCCCTTTCTATTTTCATTTATTTTTTCTCAAAAATCTATCTCTCTCTCTCTCTCAGTCTCACTTTTTCCCTCTCACTCTCTTCCTTTTCCTCTTTTTCCCCTAAGTCTCTCTCTGTGTTCTCTCCTCCTCCCCGGGTACCGCACATACGAGCACCCATGCACACGCAAAATAACACGACGGCACCACCCTCCGATTCCACTCTCTTTCCTTCTCACCACTGTGCAAATATTCCCCGAAGATTTATCGTCGTTTTCGACAATGGTAGGTCAAAACACCCTTCCATCCTTCTCCCTAATAGTCTAGAAGGATTCCTGGTTGCTAAAATGTGATTTTGGTGAAGGTTTGGACATGAAAACACGTTGGGGAGACTTCCCCAGACTTCCGGCGAAGAACCTGTCACTTTATAGCTAATTTTCGGCCAAACCACGGTGAGTTGGCCAACGTGAAAGATATCAATCTCTTCATATCCCTGAGTACTACAACTTTGATTTTTGAATCACCCAATTTCGTTGAGTATTGCAGAAGTTATATCCATTTGAATCTAACTCAGTTTCCGGCGACCTCCGTGGCTTTCGAGGCGTTTTTCGGCCACACCACGGCGAGTTAGATGTCCTGTGAGGTACCATTCTTTTCATCTCTTCGAGAACTAAAACTTTTGTTTATGTTTCACTCGATTTCGTTGAGTATTGACAAAGTTATGAACGTTTAAAGTTAGGGAAGTTTCCGGCCGAATTTCAGCCTTCTTCTCCGGCGAGACCAAGAAACCAAGGCCTTTGAGCCTAAACCCATTCGAACTAGGCCCTTTGGGCCGTGCTTACACCTAACCCAACCCCTTTTATTTTATTTTGTTTCTATTTATTTTATTTCAAACCCAAAACAATTGGGCTGGGCTTTCAAGCCCAGTACCTTTAAAACCCTTTATAGTTTTATTTATTTTGTTTTTGTTTTAAAACCCAAAGGCCTTGGGCCATTTCTGTTAGGGTCTTAAGCTCGTTAGCCACTAAACCCTTTAAACCTTTTAAACCCATACCTTTTTTAATTATTAAACCCCAAAGCCCTTTGAGACCAAAACTCTATACCCTAGCCGGCCCAAACCCTTTATGTGGAATATTCTGTAAGGAAATATTCTAGGAATATTCTATTGACTTTTACAAAATTTATCCGGAACTCTTCTTAGGGTAATTTGACGTTCTGAATTCGTTTCCAACGTCCGTTTTCCCAAATTCAATTTCTATTATATAGTTTTATTAATTTGACTCTTTATGTGCTTAGGGGCAATTATAGTGGTGTTTCTGTCTTCGCTAGCTGCGTGACTCTTCGGCGGCAAAGTATTGTGAGTGGACTCCTTCTAAAAATGCATTTTTTGATAGTAGAAATGCATACATGAAAAGCATGATTTGATGATTATGTTATATGAAATGCTTTGAGATAACATGCTTACTAAGGCTATTTTGAATTATTATTATTTTTCCTATATCATGTGTTCTTATAGAATATATGATGGATGACGATATGATATTTAGAACATGTTTCGAACACCTCTTTATAGTATAGATGATGGATGACTTTATACTATGCAGTTGATTTTCAATATATATATATATATATATATATATATTCAATGGTTTTGTACTTACCTAGTGGTCCTTTCCGCTACGGGACGTAGAGATAGATTCCGGTCCGTCCCGGGCGACGGTTTGGTGTTGGCATAGGGCCTGGAGTGTGTTTCTTTTGGCTATTTAGCACAGGGCATGGGGCCTGAAATGTATTTTCCTCTGACTATCTGCTCAGAGACGGGGAGCCGGCATGGGGTCTGGGGGTTATCGAACAATTCACTAGTGATTATTATATATACAAGTTATGATTTGAGACATTGCATGACATGCTAGGTTTCAGAAAACCTATGTTTATCATGATATATACGTGTTTTCATAAAATCTGGGGGTTAGTACCTTGTTAACTGTTTTATTATATATATCAACTTGGTCCACTCATGTTTATTTTGCGCCTCCTTCAAGACTTAGAATCGAGGCATACAATCCCAGCGTCCAGGCATTTATGCATCGACATCTTCGAGTCCTCTTGGTGTAGGACCCACTCCTTTGTTCATTCAATTTTTATATTAATTCTTTTAGTGTTCTAGATTAGATGTGTGCTCTGAACACGTTCCTTTGCACTCAATACATGGCTTTCGTCACCTTCGGGTGTCGGCCAACACGTGCCTATCCTGACCCAGAACTAAGACAACATTGGCATTGAATGTATCAATTGCATGAAGAAGCAACTGCAAGAAAATCAAACACGAATTTCAAATATATGACATTAAAACAACCACTTCAATAGTAAGTCAGCAACTACTTCGGGTCACGATACCATTGCTGGTATATGTGTTCCATCAATAGCTCCAACACAATCCTAAAATAATTATAAGAGTTAATACATAGCTACTAATATGCTTATGAAACCAATTTAATCATGGCATGGCTAAGATAAGTACTAATTATTAACCTTAAAATAAGGGTAAAATCTTGTACTTTCTCTTATTTTAGTTGGCATCGTGGATCTAGGTTGGACCATCAAATCTGGTGCAATTGTGTTCAAGGCCTTCAAAATGTTGTTGAAATTTTTGCTTGTTGTAAAATGTGACCGCCGAAATATGTCCTGAGTTTGGCAATATCAAGAATTTTGACCAATAGTGAGTATAAATGTAGCAACCATTTCTTCAATACAAATAAATCTTGTACCCTTCAAATGCGTCATTTTCGTAAGGACGTCACATAACTTTAAGAAAACATCCTATATAGCACTCGAAATTCTTGAGGATCCTCGTTCAATACCTTGTTAATATAATCGTATCCAGTTCAACTAATAGGTCGTCGGGCTAATGGCGTTCAATATGATCATCATGTATAATAACCATTAACACATTTGGCACTTGAACTATTGCTTGTACTGCCATCAATAGTAACTTAATGGCTTCATGATATTCTTCATCTTCTCTTTCCATTTCCTCTTCAATCATGTTTTCAGACATTATATAAAGAATCACCTAAGAATACAAAACTATATCCATTAGAACATAATAGAGAGAAAGGCAAAGAAACAAAACTATATCCATACTTCATCACTAGCTGTGAGCTTTTTTCTGACAGGGTCCCAACCAAATTCAGAATTGTGTCTAAAAAGCTGGCAAATTGATTGAAATCGACCCTTCAATGTTTTCATACGGTTCTTAACATGATCTTCAGTTTTTTTACACCCAAGTTTTTCATTGAGCGCGGGAACAATTTTGGCTTCTATGGTCTGCTTACTTATTATGCCATTAGCATCACACCATCCATTGTTTACGATCTCAACAAGTAGTTGTAACAACATGTTGTTCTCTTGCTCGGACCACTAATTATAGTTTCCTTTTGTCTTTTCTTATTGTGAATCTCCCATTTATAATCTTACTAGATGATGCATTATAATAAAATAATGAGACATGACAATAAAAGCATAACATGATAATAGGGATT